ATGATCGGCTGCCCATCCCAGCTATGTTACCATAAAAAGTGGGCCTGGACTTGCAAGGGAGAAGTTAGGTTCATGCCCCCGCATAAAGTTGAACTGGAAGGAGCAGGCCGGTGGGAGATAGCTGCCTTTGTCTGAAGGGGAGCTGTTTTTCAAGACTCACAGGTGTTCACGGTATCCCAGGGTAGGCTCACAGTGGCCTAAAGCTCAGCCCAGCGTACCCAAAGCCCCAACACTTGTTGGAGACATCTGTCATCTGCCTTAGGCCCTGCCTCGCTCCTTTCGCTCTAGTGGATGTCCCTTCAGAGAGGCCTTCCCTGTCACCCATTTCAAGGAGTGGCCCTGCCACTCTGGGTCCCTGTAGAACACTAGCCACTCTCTGACAACAGGCCCTGACAGGGGCTCTCCCACTAAATGCCTCTGAAGAGAACAGGTCATATCAGAGTCTGGACCCGGGTCTCCCCACCTGCCCCCGTGAGACACTCCTCTCTAGAGGTCTGAGGGAGAAAGGTGAAGGGCCATCAGGAGCATGTAGATATCTGGATTTGGTCCCAGGATTAGCTCTCGAAGCTCCTGTCCCATTTTACGGCAGCCTAGTAACAGAAGGGAGACGTTCTGAGCGATGCATAATGAAAAGGACCCAACCTGGCTGCAAGTCAGCCCGCCTGGCTGGCACTCAACTTGGTATTGTCCCAGGGCTGTCTATGCCTCCCTCCCTCCCCTCTAGTTCTTGGCACCCAAGCCTTCATTCTAGTTCTTTCTCTCATCTTCTCTTTTATGTTTTTGGCCACAGTGGATGCAGATTTAAATCAGAAGTCAGAAGTTTAGATCATTTTGAAGAGCTGCTGATGAGTGGTCCTGCCTTGCCATTTGTTTTATGAGTCCACTTCCTGCCCTTTCCAGCATGGGCTACAAGGCTCCGTGCAGCTGGGAAGAGTGATGGGACCTGCCAGGGTGCTGCCCAGAGGCCCAGGGCTTCCTGATGACATTGCGTCATGGAATAGCTGTAATAACATTCTGCTCTTCAGCCTCCTCTTCCATCGCACCGGGAGCACCAGAGGGAGGAGGCAGGCCTGGGTGACTGTCTCCCTGGCTGTCCTTGGCCTCCCTGCTGGGGAGGGCAGGAGCGGTTGCCGCTCTTCAGCACCTGTCTTAGGGACCAAGTGAGAGTTCCTGGGGGGCAGATGGGGCAACTGAGGTGGGGAGATGGGAAGAAGTCTGTCAGCTCTCTGGACTCACACGGACCGTCGGAGGACACAGCTGAAGGGGAAGGATCTGCCTCAGAGCCCACAGCCCTGGCACTGGCAGGCCCTTGCTTCTGCCCCTCCACGTCCCCACTCACTCTTTATGTCTCTCCTTCTCCCTCCTTAAATCAGGTATCGATTTGACTTGAGGATTTAGGAGGTTATAACAGACTGGCTAGCTTCTCAACAAACCCATTTCCTTTTCCAGGCATATGGTTAAACGACATTTCAGCATGCTGGCATCTGGGCAGGGCCCATGGCTGGTTCTTGCCTCTGGAATGGGGGTGTGCCTCCTGAGTGCCATCTGACTTTCAGGCCTCGTGGTCGACTGGAGGTGCTGGAGTCACGAGATGGAAGGTCCGTGGGTGACCGTGCAGAGTTGAGGCTCTTTCTCTGCTGACCAAACCCAACTGGAATGCAAAGCTACTGTTGCTTGGGGATTGTTTGTTGTAACAGTTAGCCCATCCTGACTAACACCCTTGTGTTTCTTAGTTCAGAAGAGAGCTCCCCAGTTTGGGGGAGGGAAGGCCAGGCGGGAGGAGGCCCTTCCAGGCTTCCAGACAAGAGGGAGTGGTAGAAGCGGAAGGTTCGGAGGTCCCTGACAGTCCTCAGTGCTGGGCTTTCTCCATTTTCATCTTAATCTCTCCTGGTGCCTCTTCACATCAACCCCTGAGGCCAGTCCCGACTGTTCCCTGAGCAAAATACTTGATTCCTTTTGCTGTGCTTGTCCCTAATGCTTGCCTTCTTGATCACCTCTCAGTCTTGCCTCCCTTTCAAGGCACAGCTCAGACACCGCCTCTGTGATCTCCCCATGTGACACTGAGCCCTCACTGTTTCTCCTGGCCAGCACTCTGGATGGCTGAGCAAATGGCCCCCAGGCCTTGTAGAAGCACTTCTGATATTTTCACATGAGGGTCTTCATCTTCTCATTAAGTCATAAGGTTTTTTTCAGGGTAATGACCTGACCCTCACCCTTCCTTGTTTCTTGCCTAGGTCCCAGCACTGGGCCATATGTACCACGCGGTCGGAGAATATTCCTTGGTTGGATGAATGGAGGGAAGGAAGGACAGATTAATGTAATCACAAACACATGAGCTCCTTGGCCAGATTTTCAAGTGTCTCCACCCTCTGGGCTCACTCCGTTTCTCTCTTCTTTGCTCTACTACTCCCAGCCACCAAACCCCCGTTCTGGATGGGTTGGTCTGTCTACAGACTCCTGAGCAGGCTGGGCTTCTCCTTCTCTCCACTCAGCCAGCCCCTTCTCCATTCTTGTCACTGTTCAGGGCCTAAGTGAAGTCTCACCTCCTCCGACAGTTTCTGTGATGAGGGTTGGCTGTCAGGCGATGTGCATTTCTCTGTTGGCTGTGGGCCGACCTCTTCTGCGTGTAGGACTGATCCTCTGTACCACACAGATGAGTCCTCTGTATCCCAGGGTACTGTCTCTGTGTGGTTTGTTATCAGATCATGTGTGGAACCTTTGCCTCCTTGCCTAGAATCTTCACTCCCAAGTGCTGGATCTTCGCCAGTGCTTGGCAAAAAGATCAGCAGGGGAGAGCTGCCTAGTTCGGTGTATACTTGCCGGGTACTGGATATTTAGGGCCCCCTTACCTCTTTTGCCATTTGAACGTGAACTCTCTCTGAAGATCAAATACATCCATGCCTGCCATCTTCTCTTCTTCTCGTACCTCTCTGTTCTTCCCCCTCGGCCTGGGTTTGCAGTGCTTGGGTGGACTCATTCAGCTGAGTCAGGAAAACCTTGTGCACATTTCCAGACAGCAGCAACCCCTCTGAGCCTGGAGGTCTGGGAAGCACAGCCTGGAACTAGCTTTGCGCCTTGTAGCAAACTGCACTTTTGTTGGCGACATCCTCTGGGGCATGTGGGGGTTTGGTCTGGGCCTGGAGGGATTGGCAGAGTGGGGAGAAGGGCTCCTGTGAAGGGCATTGTTGGATAAAGGAGGGGCTGAGCGAAGATGGGTCACATGGATGGGGCCAGGAGAGTGAGTGTGGCACAGTTAGGGACATGGGCCAGCCAGCCCTAAAAGACTTCCATTCTAGCTGAAGCTCGTCCCTGCCCCCCGCTGCCCCCCACCCCCATCCTCAGGTAGGTCCCACAGCGCGCAGGGCTGAGAACGGGGCCAGGAAGCAGAAGCTTTGGACTTAGTTGAAGCAGAGTTTCAAGCAAGGAAGTGGCCTAGTAAAAGCAATATTTAGGGCTCCATTTTGTCGTTAGCAAATATTTAGTTTTCGGCTGACTTCCTTTTTGCCACCCAATGTACTTTGACTCAATTCTCCCATCATGGGTGCAGAACATGCAAATTAATCATGTCGTTACCTCAGCCAAACATAATTAGGGAAGTTAACTTGCTTCGAAATCCATATAATGTATCCTACAATTAAACAAAAAAAAAATTTTTTTTTAAATTCAGGACTCTTTCCTTCTGTAAGTGTGGCTTTTTCGAAGGTTGATTGTAATTAGCCAGGAGAATATAAAAATTATTTGACTTTGCATTGTAGAAAGTTCAGATAAAAAGACAACTTATGAGGTCTGGTACCTGCCTTGTAGATACATGGAAATATTTGATTAGCTCCCATTTTCCCCCGGGATCCCCAAAGGATTGCAGGAGATCGGTGAACTGTTTTAGTCACCCATAAAGTGGAAATGCCATACAGTGTAATGATCAGAATAAACAAACAGAAAGGGTAATAAAGGTACACCAAATAATCACTGGTGACCTCAGCAATTTTATTAACAAATTTATTTCCCTAATTGGGTAACGTATCTTCGTGCTCGACTCAAGGGCATTGTAGTAGGTTTCCACGCTGCAGAAGAAGGAATTAATTAGAACTGTTTGCTCTTTGTTCCATATTTAAACTTGTCCACCAGTCTTGTAAACATTGTGCCTGGATTGCTTGGCCCTTCAGGCTTCTCTCTCCCGACTCCCCACCCTGCCCCCAAAATAAATAAATAGAAAGCGGACAGTGTGATTTAACAGCATGGCTCATCCTTTCGGCAGCGCCCCCGCCCACCAGAACTGAGGTTTATGGTTAGAGCCGGTTTGTGGCCAGAATTGGACAGAGGCATCACTTCCAGTAGGTACCCGGAAGTCTAGAAAGAGACCCTCATCTCCTCGGGCAGAAATGGAGAACCCAGGGGCTTGATTTGCCAGGACTGTGTGTGGTTTGCCCTTGCCCATTCAGACCCTGTGTAGGAAGCTGGCGAGACGGGCAGATCAGTCCCATGTGTTCCTGCCCCACCGAAATGCCTCCTAGGAAGATAAGAGACAGTCATTGGTGAGCTCTGTCTGCTCTTGGGGTGGGCTGCCTGTGTGAGTAGAAAAAACCATACACTCGTGACCTCACTCTTCTGGTCTTCTTCAAGTAGAGTTTTTTGCCTCACGACTTGCCAAGACGTCAGTGCAACAACAAAAAAGCATTTTTCAAAGTAAATTCTCTAGAATCTTACTGTAACGCTGGCTTCTCCCTCATGCCACAGCCCTCCAGTGTACTCCATGATGGTGCCATTTCACTCAGGCTGTCCAGCCTTGGATGACCAGCATTAGCAGAAGATGCCAGAGGATGTGAAATTACCTCCAGAGCTGGTTTCTGTAGCAGCCATTAATATCCTCTGCCCTGTGTGGCTCTTGAATGTGGCTAGCATTATCACAAAAAGACATCTGACTGTGTCTGGAGTACCCTGGCTACCAGTAGGTCCCTTGTGAGAACTATACTCTAGAAAAATCCAGATAGGCCCAACAAGCCTCATTCTCCCTCTTGAATATCCTGCAGGATCTGGATGAGGTTCTCTAGGCCAAAAATATAGCCTGGATCTGGTCCGTCGTAAGAGGTGTGCTCGTCCCAGGAGCCTTTGTATGTTGTGTGGGCAAAGTCGATCATCCGGATGTCAACTTTGCTGACACCTCCAGAAGAGCTGCCATGGGCCGTCCTTTCTGGCGGCTCCTGCCCATCATAGATGATGAGGAGAGAGCTGGAGTAGAACCGGTAGGAACTCTGGCTCCTAATGACCGAGAGGAGGGCACGGAGCTGGCACTGGATGGGCTCCAGGAGCTCCGTCCGGAGGCGGGTTCCATCATGCAGGAACTGATGGAGGGCCTGTCGGAAGCCCTCGACAGAGAGTTTTCTTCCGTAGTACTTGTCTTTGCAGAGAAAGTGCTTCTTATCAACTTGATAAACCTGATAATAAAAAAAGAAAGAAAACGTGAAGAATTGCCAACTCAAGAGAAAGCTTGCCATTGCTGTGGTTGCAGGGTTACAAGCTAGCATGATATATAAACAGATTTCCGGGAGATGCAGGGCAGGAATGGCTGAAATGAATGGAAGGATGATCTTCCATCAAGCGCCAGGGGAACTTTCACATTTTAAAATGCTTTCTCTGCAAGCCCTTAATAGGAATCCAAGGTCTACATATCCTTCACCCCATGAAGGTGACCCTCCACCCGTAACGAAAAGCTCTGGATCGCCTTTGCTGTGAATTTCCAGTGTCATCCTCCAAATCGTGATTTAAACCCTGGCTCCTGGCCTTCTTCAATTCAAATATTAGCAAACCCAAGCTAGAACGCTTTAGCAGGAATCTGAGATCGCAGCCAATGGCCTTGGAAAGTCAACTAGATTCAATTTTCCCCAGTAAAGTTTGTAAAGTCCTTTCTCTACAAATTCTAAGGAAACCGTCATGGCTTTTGGGGTAGAGCAGGGTTGACTGAAGATAAAACAACAAGAAGATAGGCTGGATGAGGAAGGGATGGGGTTTTCCAGCAGCCAGTGCCACTGAGGGGAGCCTGGATGGAACGGGGAGGAGGTTCGCAGCAGCTCTGTGGGGCTGGTGGCTCCTACTTGGCACCAGCTCCTCTCCCCCCCCACTCCCCTGTCATGTCTTGGCCACCAGAAGGAAGCAGATGGAGAAGATGCTGATGGGGGGACAGTGGCAGCTGCTCCCATTCATTCAGAGGCTGTACTGAGGCCAGTGGCTGGCGTGGCCATGACTTGGCTTACTTCTGTCTGGCACACCTGGGAAGGGCAGCCCATACGTGGCCAAGACAGTTTCTCAAGTCTTTCCCGCCTTCAGATTACGTGGTATGTGTATGGAAAACCAGTGCAGGAAAAAAAAATCAGAAAGCTATGATAGACTTGCTTTGGAGGGCGGGAGATGGGCTGTTAAATTAGCCATCATAAACACATGACAGTTGTCACTGTCTAAATAAATCAGATCGTTTTCAGAAGATTGGAGGTCCGGAGAGAGATTCCGTTTACACCCCGAATCATCACACTCCATTCTCTTGAGGACTGCATTCCAAGCCTTCCGAGGGACATCTGTGCAACAAATTTATAGACTCCACTTCCAGCTTCAAGGGGTGGCAGTTTCAATTAAGGAAAGCCTCAACGTGTACCATCAAATCAGTGTCTGGTTTTGCTTTGAGGAGATAGACGGTAAGAGTGAACGAGTGGGGGAAAGTTGATTTCTTCCGGTTCTGCAGCCCCTGCCATGAGCCACGTCAGCTGCAAAAATGGGGTAGAGTCTGGGCAATAAAAAAAATTAACTGTTCCTTTGCCTCAGCTGAGCAGGCTACGACCTTCCCACTTCTTTAACCAGAACAGACAGCAAAAAAACCCCAGAAGACATGGAGTAGGAATTCAAAGAGCAGAGTGCCTTATGGCCCCTGAGAAGGAGAGTGTTCAGCTCTACCCTTCCAGAGACCAAGGAAGCCACGGAGTGCACAGAGAAGCTCTTTTTCTGTTCTCTCCCCAGCCCCCTGCTCACACACTGTCACCAGAGGTCTGCTCTCCACGTGGACAGGCCCCACGTGGCCCCTGGGAAATTCCACCTACCGCAAACCCTCCTGTGTGGCTGGCTTTGTGGGCGGCGGTGTCCACAGTGGACACGCCAGGACCCCCAGCCACACGACGGGCCCTCTGCCTCCTACCTGCATCCCACAGATGCGCACACCCAGGCAGGCCGAGGTGCTCTGTGCACACTTGTGCATGTGACGGGCCTTCTTCTCCTCGGACGCGTCATCTCCATGCTGCCGGGTCCCCATCTTCAGGTCCAGGATACAGGGGTGCTTATACTGTGACACGACATTTTCCAGCAGCAGAAACCCTGGTCAGGCTAAGTTCAGGAAGGCTCTGTGGACTGGGAGGCTGCGGCCCCCAGGGAGGCAGATTGCACGGCCCCATGACTGCCCGGGACCCCCTTTCCGGAGTGCCGTTCCTTCTCCCCCTGCTCCGCACGGACAAGCCCATCGCCCCTCTTAAGAATGCAAAGTATTAGCCTAGCAGGCTGCTTTAAGAAGTCCATTTATTTAGGGGGAGTTTATGACTCTGGGAGCTTCTTTTCCTTTCTGCTCCGAGGTTGAAATTTAAATGCAGGCGTGAAATCCCTGGCAGGCCATGCCCAATTTACATTTTACGGCAGAAAATCATAAGGCTAAAACCTCGAGTCACTGAATGGGCCAATACCTTTTGGGAGAAGTGGGTTGATGTTAGCTTTGGAGATGAATTGCAGGAATATTAATTTCAGCGGAGTAATTATCCTGCAAAATCTTCTTAGGGATTAGGGTTGCAGATGTGTCTTAGTAAATACTGTGGAACCAGTCACCCGTTTGCAGGAAGGAGCCCAGCATTGACAAAGGGGTATTTCAAGCCTAAATGTACTCACTGAGAACATGGCAGCCTGAGGTGGTAGGGGGGAGTGCCTCCCCTAAGAGTCTCCCTCTGGGGCACTGCCCTGAGGGAGCACTGCACCCCCGCACCCCATCAGCTCCACAGGGAGACATCTGCGGGGAGAATTTGGAGGGCTAGAAGGGAGGCTGGGGTGTGGGGAACCCACCCAGCCCTCTGAGCCCCCTGCCACCCCCACCCAGCATGGCTGTTATCATTCCTGTCTGCCAACAGACACCCTCAGCCCAGCCCCTCTGCCCAGGTGGGAGCAGCAACATAGCCAGCGGCCTGGCCATGGGCACTGTGTTCAGCTTAATTCCCAGTCCGACTTCCCCCATAATCTCTGATTTTCTTTTTCTTTTTTCTTTCTTTTTTTATTTTTTGGAGGGATCAGATGTCTTCTAGGTCCCAGATTTGAGGGCTTGTGCCTTGACGTGCACTGGTCTCTCCCTGCCCACCCCTGTCCTGGCACCCATGTCTGTGTCTCCCCCTCCCGCCCCTGCTCCCCTGTCTGCCTGTCTTTGTCACCTCCTTCCCCCGCCGCCCCGGCCTCTGACAGGCAGCAGGGAGTGCTGGCAAGGATACGGTGCCGCTGGTTCTCCGGGTATTCGGTGCATAGGCGGGTCAGGTGGGCCTGGTGGCACTGCAGTCCCCACGGGTTAAAGCTCCTCCTCTCAGCCTGGTTCCCTTTAGCGTCTTCCACGAGTGTGGAGACTGGGGCATTGAGATGGAACTCGGACCTCGAGAGCGACGTGGCCGGGCTGTGGGAGAGGGAAGCACACGGCAGTCAGAGCAGCCATGGCCAGCAGCCGTGGCCGGAGGGCTGGGGGTAGGTGCCCGTCCCTCGGACAGGGCTCTCCTGGACTGGGCTCTGATGGGGACAGCCCCTGGCTGCTCTCCACGCTGCCTACAGGGCCTCAGAGTGCCCCTGCTGCCCCATTCAGGCCTTGGGCACCAGATCGGGCCACACTGCAGCCCTGGCAGGGCGTCTCTCCAAACCCCAGAAGAATTCATTAGAGCCTGGCGCCTCCTCAGAGGGCTGAGGTGGTTTAAGTTCACTTGTAAGTGATCTGGATTCCTCTTGCACTCTCGAGGTGATGCAGTGTGGGGACCGCAACCCTGCCTGGAATCAGAAGGCTGGGGTTTTAGGCTGTGAGTGTGTTGTGGCACTATTTCCTTGAGACCTCAAAATGCCCTTAGGGCCGGGAATCCTGGATCTTTGGTCTGCCCTCTCTCCAGTCCTCTGCATCTCGGCTTCCCCATCTGTGAAATGGAGATAATACGTACCTGCTTCCTGATGTAGAACCAAGAGACGTAGTTAGATCTGCTGTGCTCCTTGGGGAAAGGAGGCACTTTCATTGTATTAGCTCCCTTTTGTTTCCTATAAATGTTTTATAAGTCCCCAGGGGTCCTTTTCATCTGAGGAAGGTCAGCTAACATTATCAGAGAGGTTCTGGAGACCTCTTTGGGAACTTGGGTGCCCTGAGCTGCCTGGTCTCTGAGATCCCACGGTGGGGGTGGGGGGTGCAGGGGGATTGTGTTGACCTCTCTCCTCGTCCCTTCCTGACTGCTGGGGAAAGGTGACTTCGGACTGCCATTAGCCATTTCTCCCTTGTGTCAACTTTTCTGGGTTTCTGTATTCCCCCACCCCCACCCAGAGACACTGCACGGTCTCCGTAAAATAAGTATTTAATTAAACAAGTATGTGCTGAAATGCCTGTTCCCTATAGGACCCTGCATATGTGGCAGCTTCTGAGACATTGTGGAATCCTCCCTCTGAAACCGCATAAAGGAAAACTCATGCCTTCCTTTGGTCGCCTGGATGTTTCTAGAAGGAGACTTCCTGGGAATGTGTCACGTCCTCGGCCCGGTCGGGAAGCTGTGGGCCTTGGTGCAGGTGGGAGCAGAGCTGGTCCCTGCTAGGTTAGCTGTCATCCTACCACGTGGCCCTCACCTCTCCTCGAGCGAGTGAGCCAGCTGCCACTGGACGAGGGGGTGGACGCCACCACTGCTACTGGTGGTCTGCTGGAGCGTCTGCCATATTGCCACCGCTGCCGATTCCGTGGAGACCTTGAAGGGCCCCCGGTTCTCCTTCAGCGGGGTGGCCACCAGGCTGAGATGGCCTCGGCTGTCTTTTTGGAGGTGCACTGTGATGGTGCCTGCAGAGCACACGGGGGGAGGGGAAGGGGGGAAACCAGATGGAATTTACCTGGTGGACATGTTGCAAGGGGTGACATCCTTCTGAATTGCAGTTTAAGGGCACTGATCAACACCCCCCCCCCCTTCCCTAACTGCTCTCTCAAGGAAGAGCTACGGGGACTATTCCAAAATGAGCCCAGGGCCGCGGAGCCTGCAGAAAATAGCCTTGGGCTGGTCAGGGCGTTAGCTCTCCTTCCCTGAATCTCTTTGCCCTTTTGAGCTTTGAACAAAGCCAGCCCCGTACATTTTGTTCTCACCTTCTGGTTCCTTGGTGCACACTGGCACCTTCCCAGGCACAACAGAGCTGTTCCAGTGGGGCCCAACCCAGGGTCATCGGAGCCCGTCTTTCGCAGGGAGGCCGTGAGGGAAGTTGGGGTCCATCCCATAACTTCCCTGTGCCTCCTTCATCATCCTTTCTCTCCCTTCCCGTTCTGTCTGACCAGCTTCTTCCAGGAAGCCTGCCTCAGACAGCCTTCCTGGGCTCGGACTCTCTGTCCCCATCCTTTAGACCTCTCCCCTACCCACCATCCTGGCTTCAACACGGATGCCCACCATCTCCTTCAGTTAGACCCACAGCCCATGAATTTTACTGACGGAACATGGTTCTCTGATAGAAAACAGGAGGCTGGTGGGATTTCTCCAGCTATGGTAACTCCTGCCCATCGTGTTTGTAATCAAGGCACAACAGCCTGCTCCGGTCGCTGCTTGTGAGCGTGGAGAGTGTGAGGAGACCCAGTGAACAAACATGCTAATTGGCTTCTCCGGGACAGGGGCCAGGTTGGGTAATTAGGTCTGGCACGCCTGTCAGCGGCTCCGTGGTCACCCCTGTTGGATTTCTTGCTCTGGCGGCACAGTCCGGGCCTTCCCCCATGGGGCTCAGCATCCGCCCTAAATGGGTGCCTGGCCTCACCCAAGTTCTGCTGGAGGTGGAGCTATGCTCTTGGCGGTGGCAGGGGAGATAGCCCCGCAGGTGGCTTTGGAGTCCTCGGTTCCCTGTTCTTCCTGCAGCTGATCCCTGACTGTTCCAGTGGCTCCTTCTCCCTCCAGGCCACCCTGCACCTGTCTCCACCCTGCTTTGTGCCTGCCAGGCTGACCCTGTGAAGTGCACCAGTGGCTTCTGCGCCCCTGATTTCCCAGGGGCTGGGCCAACGAAGGATGTCGGCAGGAGATGGGCTGGGGCCAGAGAAAGATCGAGGTGTTTATCCCACTGGTTTCCTCCCTGCCACAGCATGGTCCTGTCCCTCTGTGGCCTCCTTCTCACTGGGTCCGTGACCCCATTCCCTTCAGGCCTAGGAGTGGTCACAGCCTTTCAGGGGCACTGGTCCCTGCGTGCCTCATCGCCCCCATTTCCCTTAATCCCACGTGCATGTCTATGAGCCGTCCTTTTGAAAACTCTCTTCATTTAAAGCCCGTTCGGCACACCGCTCATTGCCTGCTGGGACTCTGACCTGGGTGGGCTGCATGTGATCAGGTCCCCCTCAGGTATTTATTTTCTCCCCTGCCACTTGGTCACTTTCTCAGCGCAAGTGGTGATTTTTGCTGAACCCGTGCTCAAGGCAGCTGATTTCCCTGCTTGCGTCCCTGCCCAGGCTGGTCAGTGCAGACGCTCTTTTCCAGGGCTGCTCTCTAATTCAGCAAGTCGCTCTTCAGGGCCATCTGTGCCTAGCTCAGCGGCCTCTCTGGGCTAGTCCTGTCATCTCAGATTCCCGGTGCCCTAATTTCACAGCCCGAGAGTGACATTCAGTTCTTTCCAGTTCCTTAAAAAAATTCTGCGTTGCCTCAGCTCATCTCAGGCCCCTGAATCTTGTGAATTAATAATGATATGACTAATAATACTATCCTTGATCCTGGCATTTTGTCGTTTACCTGAACCCAGGGGTTCCGCCTGGGAGAATGGGGGGCTGATGGCAGATCGGGGGAGGAACTGCAGTCGTGCTAATCAGTGTCGTGTTCGTCTGTTACCACTGAGTGACAGCAAGCCTGCGAGGCCCTTGCCCGTGGTCACGGGGACTTGGGGAGATGGAATGACTTGCCCAAGGTCCCACAGTAAGGGGCGGAGCTCTGAGAAAGGCCACAGCAGACATGGCTATGGAAGAGGGAACAAGCTGTAACACGGAGCCAGGGACTTAATGGGAAACTCCAGCGTTGTCCTGCTGTGTTTACTTGTGTGTGGATGAGGAACGCTCCTGCTGTGTCCTCATCACATTTGGTTGGGCCCTTCTGTTCCGTGGGAGTGAACAGAGAAACCTGTTTTGAGAGGGTCATTGGTTCAGAGGGGTGGGAGTGCCAAGAAGCCCAAGGACGCGGCGTTTCCCTTGCCATTCCTCTTTCCTCAGGCAGGAGGGCCGCTCTGCTTGCTCCGGGGAGGGCCAACCTGGAAGCCGGCACTGGCCCCAGAGTCCACCCCTCCACCGTGGGGAAAGGAGAGCGCGCTAGCCTCTGTGCTTGTCCTTGGGGAGCTTGGAGCCTCGTGGCTGCTGGGGAGCCCAGGATGGGGCGCCAGCCAAGGGCATGGCCCTTTTCGGTCTTTTGTAAAGTTCGGCTCACCCTCTGGCCTTTTCTGCTGTGGGACTGTGGGATTGGGACACGCTCACCAGAAACCACTGTCTTGGGGAGCCCCGGCCCCAGGAGGCCTCACTGGAAGGACAAGAAACGTGACCTTCTCCTGCTTCTCTAGGCTCCAGCTCTTGTCTAATCTCATCAGATCTGACTGTCTCAATAAATGGAGGCGAGGAGAGGTGCAAAAAAACCAAAAACCAATAAAATCCAAAAATCATTTCTATTTCTCATATTGTCAGAGCTACCCAGCCAGACTTCGTGTCCCTGCCTCTCGTCTTCCTTCACGCCTCTGGTTCTGTGTCTCCACCTATCTGTCTTCCTCCCTCTCCCACATCTCTCTCCAGCTCAGCCCAGACTTTGCTCTGAAGCCCAAGACGCATAGCAGATCTCTGCCTTGCAGATGATCTCAGGTTGTCTTCTCTAAACCGAAGCAGCCGGTCAGTGGAATCCAGACGCCTTGGGGCTTGGCTTGGTTTTTAGTCAAGATTGTGTTTGCCCCAGCCTGGCTTCCGGCTTGCTTTGTGTGTCCATGGGAGCTAGGCCTGGAGGGACATAGGCCCCCCACACTCTGCCGCCTCTGCCTGGCCGGGGGTAGCGGGGGACAGCCAGAGCTTTGCCTGCAGTCACGCCAGCCGGGCAGACAAGAGTGCTTACTGCCACAATTGCCATGCCCAGAGCATCTCAGCAATTTCGGCTTGGCCAAGCAGCTTCCCCAGCCTCTGGGAATGTTCTGTCATGTATTTATTTTTAAGCTCATGAGAGCATTTATTTGCCGGCGTGTATAAGATGAATCTGGCTCTTCTGTTAACCAGCCAGACTTAGGAGTATGTCTTTGCTCACCCAAAGCTGACAGGTACACTGGGAGGCAGAGAGATGCAGGTCCAAAATGTTGTCCTGCCCGAGGAGCCCAGCAAAAGGTCCGGGCAAGCTCCTGGCATGGGGAGGCTAGCCTTGGGAGTGACGTCCCTGCCCAGCGCTCTCTGATTTCATCACAGTGCAGGGCAGTGAGAAGGGAGAGGCTGTGCTCCATGGCACACAGTGGCCACTACAGAAACAGCTCCTCTCTGGGGGAAACCCCCTGTGGCAGCCTTGTGGGCATTCAAGTCCCCCTGACCTGAGGTCACGCATTGAGTGACTCTGGGCAAGGCACATCCCCTCCTTATTGGGCTAGATGATCCCCTGACCTAGCCTGGGAGGCAGGCTAGAGTAGGGGTCCGGACAGTAGACTAGTGCCCAAGAGTGCCCAGGAGGGGTGCTGTTCTCCCCCTCCTCCCGCAGAGGAATGGGCACTTGTAGACAGGACCCAGGGAGGGCGTCGGGATGGGGTCCTGGAGACCAAGCAGCCTCTTTCACTTTCCTGCTCTGCCTGTGGCCGCCCCGGCCATCTGTCTCAGCTCCAGAGCCATGTCCAACAGGCGTGAAATGCTGCGGGCAAGAGGCCCCCCCACGCAGGGTCCTGCCACCCCTTTGCTAGGTTGAGTTCCGTTGTGAAAGGACAGACATTCATTCCAGTGGGTGCTCTGACGACATGGGCAGTGACCCACAACGGATGGGCAACCCCGGGCTGTGGCCCCAGAGGCCCCAGGGGAGGCCTGCACAGGCCGCACACCAGCTACCCGCCCCCCTCTCTCCCAGTGTGTGGTGCTCACAGTCCTCATCTCAGAAGGTCTTGGCAAGCCGGCACTGAAGCGGTGCTTGGGGCTCAAGTCCTTGGCCCCCAGCAGTGGGTCTCAGTCTGAATGCTGGATACAGATTCTTGGGCCCTGCCCCCAGGGTTTCTGGTTCATAGGGGTAGAAGGGAGCCTGGGAATCTGCATGTGAACCCCTACACCAGCCTTGGTCAGTCCCAGAGCACCCTCTAAGAAACACCCACAGAGCTAGGCCCCATTTTTCCTGGTTATTTTGATGACTGAAATGCGAGTAAGTTTTTGACTGACTTACTTGGATATTATCATTACTTTTACTGCAGATGCATATTCGAGGGCAGAAGCTTGTAGTCACAACATTTAAAAACCTTTAAAAGAGATCTTTTCTCTGGGGACTTGTCCCATTGAGGGGTTCGCGGCCGGCAGTCTTGCCCTGAGCCCTGTGAGCCGCATTTACTGAAGGCTGGGTGTGGACAAAAGGCCTGCCTCGTGGATGCTGGCCAGCTGCCCAGAGGGCCCCACAGATGGCGGCCCTCCCCAGCCAGCCTTCACCCCCCTGAACCCACCTTGTACTCAGATCTGGAACACACACGGCTCCATGCCCCGCTTCCCCAGCTCTACCTGGAGGGCAGCCCATGGCCCTGGCTTGGCCATTAGGTAAGAATGAGGAATTCTCGTTTCCTAAACATGTCAGGTCCCTGCTTCTTCACGTCCTGACCCAGGCCTGAGGCTCCACCCATCCACCTGGGTCTCCCGATGGAGGGGCAAGAGGCCTTGGCCCGCCCTGTCTTCCCCAGCCCCAGTCACAGGACCCAGCCATGGCACCCCTGAAGCACAGAGCAGACTCCCTAGCAGAGCAGGATGGGGCCGGCCTATCATTTCACTCCACGCTCAATTCCTCGAAGCCTAGTGGCTTGAGCTCGTTTTTAGGGATGCCAAATGGTATTAGACTCCAGGCCTGGAGGCTTGAAGAGTTCAGAGAAACTAGGACATTGAGGGCCAGCCAGGCTGTGGGGAGGGAGCCTATCTTCATGGCAACCTGGGGAGGCGGTGGGGGATGCGGGGGGCGTCCAGGAGCCTGGCCTGCGACAGTGGCACGGTGGCGCACAGAGCCGCAGCTGGCCGCCAGGGACACTCACCTTTGTACTGCGGGGTGAAGCCCTTCATGGCCAGAGGCAGAGACTCGTAGAACCTCTGCTCCCGGGAGATGAGGGGCTTGCACACGGTGTGCTCATCGTACTTCATCAAGCTCAGGTGCCCCCCGACCTGGTGCAGGAAGGGCTCTAGCCGCACGCCCACTCTGGCCTCCCCAGCATCTGTGCTGTCCTGCACAACCATGTGTCCACGAGAGGAAGGCCTGGGCAGCTCCCGGACAGGGGGCGGGGCCGTCAGTGGGGCTCAGCTGTCTCCTTAGTGGCCTTGATCCCCGTCATAGCACAGCTGTCCCTCTGTCTGTTGGCCTGGGAAGGGGGCCCTGGAAAGCAGAGGAGGAAGGTAGAAATGGTGTGAGGGAGACAAGGTCCTGGGAGGAATGGAAGGACCCGCAGTTCCCAGCCACGACCCACTGGTAGTTGAACAAGACTGTACAGAGGCTTCCATCACTTCTAGAGTAATCCATTACAAGAAACTGGTACTGTGGTTGCTCTGGGGAGCCAGGATGAGAGATAGACTTCTCTGAATCCCGTCCTGTTTAACATTTTTGAAAAATCAAATAACACACACAACCGTAGGCTTCCAGAGTGCCGAGATTGTGTTTAACTCCTCATATCGTGTTTCTTGCCTGCTTTTGGGAACGTTGGTCGCAGGCCCAAGGAGAGGTGTTAGGGTGTCAGGGTGCTTCGCCTCTCGCAGGGGCCCGGGGGCCACAGCAAAGCTTGGGTTTTGTCAGCATAGCTGTGCACACCTGTCTGCGTCACGTCTTCACGACATAATTGCCATGTGACTCTGAGAAGTTACCAAACCTCTTTGGGCCTCAGTTTCCCCATCTGTAAAGTGAAATAGTAAGGATACTTTATGGACATAGGACAACATTGAGATAAAGCCCATGAAAAGGTTGGCTGAGGGCCCAGAGCTAAGTCCTCAATAAATGTGATTTGTCGTAATTATTTCTAGTCTTATTGCCTTGGTGGTCATATTTCCCCAACAGCTCTGGGTTGGAAGGAAGGCCGTGTTTCTCACCGCCACTTTGCACAAGAGGGAAGTGGGGCCTGCAGTGCCTTGACTGGGCTCTGGTGCAGGCCAGGGGCAAGGCAGGAGGAAAGTGGGGACTGCTGGTCTTGGGGCCTCATTCCTTACGACCTGCCGCTCCCTTTTCCTCCCTAAGGGCAGGCTTGCTGGAACTCTGGGTTGGGAATACATCCCCGAAAGACACCCTGACTTTGTCTCAGGAGAGTGCCCAAGGAGACACTGTGAGGGGAGGCTCTTCTGGCCACATTCGTCCTGTCCTGTCTGAGAGGACATTCCCACAGGGGTGCCCATCACCGCCAAGTTATTAATACTCTCTCCTCTGCTGGACTCCCGGCCAAAGATGCCACCAAGCTAGGCAGCCCTGGACATGATTAACGCTCTAAACGACCTTCAGTGCAGACCATGAGCATGGCCAGCCGGCTCCATGCTTGGAGTGCCTATCAGTTTGTTCAGGACCCCAGCTCAGAGAGACCCCCTGCTGCCCCCCAGGGGTCTCTCTCTCTCTCTCTATCTCTCTCTCTCTCACTGGCTACTGTTTTTCAGGCCACAGAGTGCCCCTCTAGGAAGGGGAGGTGTTTTGCCTGGTGTGTGCATTTGCTCAGCTGGGTGCAGGACGAGGCTTCTGAGAGCTGCACGTGTGGCCAGAGCAGGACTGGGGAGGTTAGGGTGGCCGGGCCAGGCAGCCAGGGCGGGGGGAGCCTGAGGCCTAATGGCGAGGGGCTGTGCTGACGCAGTAGGCTCGGCCTCACCCCGAGTCTGCTCCCAGATAGTACGGAGGGAGCCCCACTTGGAGCCTGTTCCACGAGCTGAGAAGTCAGTAGGAGGCATCTAGATGCAGAGGCAAATCTGAAATCAGTGCAGGGACAAGCTGATACAGGACAAGGTAGCCCAGTGGCTTGGCAAACCAAGTCATACTTGGCAGATGTGGTGAAGGCAAGAAGGAAGGTAGGAGAGAAAAACCCAGGTGGCCCAGCACCAACCAACCAGGCGCGGCCTTGCCAGGACTGCCTAGCCGAGCTGACGCCTCCAGGCGGTGTCCCAGGCGAGCCCTCCTGCGTACCCTTCTTCCCCATGCTCCTGTCTCCCTAATGCAGACTTAGGGTGGGTCGTAGTGATAGGATGTCTGCTGGGTAATTAGCCTGTACTTCTAAAAAAATCTAGATTTGGGGCACCTGGCTGGCTCAGTCGGTAGAACATGTGACCCTTGATCTTGCGGTCGTGAGTCTGAGTCCCATGTTGCGCAAAGAACTTCCTTAAAAAAAAAGTCTATACCCAGCTGGTCAGGAAACTGAGGCTATTTCTGTCAGGGCTCACCTTAGGGTACAGATGAGGTGATCTCTGAGGGTCGTCCTGCTCCTGAGCTCTGTGGTCTGTGGTTCTGACATGGGTCAGCGGGAAGGGGCAGGGGGAGCAGAGGCGTCAGTACCTGAGCTAGGCAGGTGGGCTCTGCTGCCGCTCACGTAGGCACTCTGTGGCTTCCCCTCGGCACTGATGCTGACCTTCTGTTCCCAAGGTTGTCTCTCTGTCACTGGGTACAGTCTTCTGCTCTATAGGAATGAGCTAGGGAAGACCTCCATTTTTCTCAGTCCTCCCCCTTAAGTTCCAAATAAATAATTCAAGCTGACAGATCTTTCTCAACCCAGACCTTCTTTTTGCCACACACAGGTACATCTGTCATCGGTGTAGGCCTTGGCCTTTGGTCAGTGCCCTATTTCCTTAGAGCACTGGGCATGGAGTCAGGAACCCAGATCTTTCCCAAGTGTTCCCACTAGCTTGCTCGAGGCCCCTGGGATGAACTTGGTAATGTTCGTCTGAGTCTTTGTTTCCCACCCACTGCCACAGCCTTGTCACGATGCTCAGATGACAGAACGCATAGCATTCCTTTGTGGAGTCCTTTTCCCAAGCATCCCCACCCCTTGAGGCTTGTCACTGCGTGGGTTATTCTCAGGACTGACTCAGCTCTGGTGCTGGGAAGGCAGGTGAGGCGCCTGCCTGAGATGGGACCTTACGCCCCCTCTGACACCCTCGCTAAGTATACTGGTCTCCCTTCAGTGCGTCAGAGGGAGACAGATGTCCTCTCTCCAGCCCACACTTCCCTCCATAGCCCCACAGCTGGACCCTCACTCAGCATCCTGCCCTGGTGTTCCATGGGAGAGAGAAGAGGGAGAGAGCGAGGGAGGGAGGGGAGAGAGTGAGATGCCCCCAGCCAGAAGAGCTCAGCCAGAAGCCCCCTTCCCCAGGAGTCATGGACAAATGGCCCAGGTCCCTGCATCCTATCCTGTCACTGGCTTGTATCCTGAATGAAATAACTCTGGGCTCACTCCAGGAGACTCAAGGGCTGAAATTTCTGATGGGCCCCATTGTCCAGCTGGTGGTTGAATGAGGCCCCATGGGGCTGTCTGTGTCTGTGCAGCCCCACAGGGCCCGGGTGACAGCCAGCCTGCCCCCGGTCTGAAAGGAAGGTCACGGACAGCAGGGCCTGCAGTTGTGTTTGGCTTCCAGAGTGGGGACAGATGATGGTATCAGTGATGCCAGACACAGGGACAGAGGCCACCAGGCCGAAGTGGATGAATGCCTCCGGCTTATCACTAGCCGCTGGCACCTTTTCTTCCCCGAGAATCTGTGTGTATGTCATCTTTTGCCCCAGGCTGAACCCGAGTTCATTAGAAATTACAGAAGATAAGCCCCTGTTCTAGCTTGCTGCTCGCATTTTAGGCAAGATGGCAGATGAGGCCACCAATCAGACTTCTACCAGCTCCAACTTAGACTAAGTTCGTCATGAACCTGGTCTTACGAAATCCTGTCAGCTCCCTGTAATCTGGAAACAAGCTGGCTGACCGTGGTCCTTGTCGGGGCTGTTCATAAACACTCGGGTTTTCCTTAGGGGATGTGGTGTGATTGCACTTCCCTTGCCCTTGGAAGGTAGGCGCGGCCCCATGACTTGCTTCCGCTGACATAATGCGGATGGGAGCGCCCTGTGCCACTGCCGGTGGGAGCCTGGAGTGCAAGCCGTTGCCACGTCCTCTCTCCCTGGCCTGCCTTCGATCGTGCTGGATATGTATGTAGCCTGACAGAGAGGTACATCTCTGCTCTCAGAGGCCGCTGCGACTCGGGGCTGGTTTGTGAGGCTGGCGGCCTCGTGCGCATAGCCGGATGCCCAGCAGGGAGCCCGGAAGTTGCAAGGGACCCCACTGGAACCAGGCACTCAAAGACTTCCTGCAGAAATGCACCCTGTATGACACGAGCTGCTCCTCTGAAGCATATCCTGGGGTCATGGGCTCTGCAGTCCCCATCTCCGTTTCTGAAGTCCCCATCTCTGGTGGAGAAACTGAGGGGCTGAGATGGCAAAGGCCCAGGCACACTTGGGAGCTAGAGAACATTCTCTCTCCTCTAAAGGCCTCAGGGCCAGGGTCCCATCCAAGGCCCTCTCCACTCTTTGTGCCGCTGTGGCCTGCCTCCCTGGAGCTCACACCCGGTGGACAGGGTCCAGAGGGCCACTCAGCAGTGTGGGTTCACAGAGCCAAGGGTGAAGGGCTCCCACCCGCAGGCCCCTCACGACCTTCCTAACGCTACACCACCAAAGCGTCATCCTCAGACCAGAGCAGTAGGACCCTCAGAGCGTGATAGCCTCTCACATGTACAGGAACACATCTGTGATTACCAAAATACAAATTCATTTCAAGGTGCTATTGAGCTTCTAGTAGTTTTAATCCTCATCCATTTTCTCAATCAGCGGATACTAAAAGTATAATGAGTATCACAGGGGCATGCGTAGGGAACAAATTATGCTGAAATGGAGTCCTAGCTAAAAAGTTTAGCAGAGGTACTGATGTCTCCTAAGGTGGGCGTAGTGTCACGGGTTCTGGATGGAGTCTTGGCCGGGGGGTAGGCCATCAGGACCTGAGGAGGGGTTGTCTCCGGTGAGGGTGGAGCAGCAGAAAATGGCCTGGGCCAGCCAGGAGACCAGAGGGAAGGCTGTGAGCAGGGGTAAGCCTGACCTGCTTCACTCGTGGGCCTAGAGGGGGCCTGGCCACATAGACCGGGGGTGCCTAGAGGGGGCCTGGCCACATAGACCCGGGGTGCCCAGCTTGTCTGGCTCCTGCTCAGGCCAGGGAGGAGGGGGTTGCCTGAGAGGGTGAGGTGTGGAAGGA